GCCCAGTCTTAGATCAGGTTAAGCTGACATACTGTGAAATAATTCTGCTACTCCTGCTAATTCTGCTGCCTTTGGCTGTTGGCAGTGTATTTTCAGTGATTTTAAGGACCTGCTCAGTGGGACCAAGGGAAGCTCAGAGTCTTAGGAGGTCAGATGAACTCACAGTGACTTGGCATGTGGGCAGTCCCCTGTGCTTTGTTCTGTGTGGTTTTTACTTGTGTCAAGAGTAGGAAGGGGCAGGAGAAGTAATAAAGCAAAAGAGCCTGCAAACAGGAAAATGGTGTGGGAGGACCTTGCTTGCATCATGTGTTGCTATATCGCACTAACAAATGAAGGACTAAATGATGGACTTGGTCTTTGGAAGCTGTACCGTGTTTCATCTGGGGAAAGCAGTGTGTTGTGAATCACTTAATCAGAAGACAGTGGAATAATGTTTTTAAAGACTCCAAATGCAATTCTAGCCTGCTTGGCCTGAAGGATTTTTAGTTCAATACAAACATTGAAGGGGGAAAATATGAAGCAGAAGAGAGCAGGTTAATTCATAGGTTGTGCAAAAGACTTTCTAGAATAGTGTAGAGGTCAGTAAACACAAACACTTAACAGATATCATCCTTACAGAGGGAAATGTGGGCAGTAATTCTGGAATTCTGCTATTAGCCTCCTGTCCCCCCACTAGCACTGGCTGTTTGGGATTGATTTGGGATTTTGGATTTGTCAGGTATGAAGAATGTCTGAACATACCTAAGTACCTGTTTCCATTCAGACTGATGCTGGAGACTGCATCAGTTTGGTTATGTGGCCCCAGGCAAAACCTCATCAGTCACTGGGGATTTTACCACCATCTACAAGGTTTAAATATCATTCATAGTCAAAGTTCATGTCCTCTGGTTGGAGCTTTGGTCTCTGGGTTTTTGGAGCATTTGACTGTTAGTCTCCAAGTATTTTATGGTGAATTATTGCCCTTTTTTATTTCCCATTTCTTATTTAAGAAACATATGTATGTGTTGTTATGTTTTGTAGTTAGGTTTAGTTCTTAGAATTTTATCTGAATGTTGAATTTCTGACAGCGCTCTGTTTTTGAATGTAGGTTCGCTGTGGACTCATCGTGGTTGCCTATAAGAATGGCTCCCCTGCACATCCACATTTCATGGATCCTGATCTGTGCTCGCAGTACTGGAATAAGTGGCTTTTGCGCCTTGAAGAGTACATGGACAGAAACTGAGAAGAAACAAAGAAGCACCAAGTGGTCTGAGCACAGAGACAAAACAAGACTTTTGTTTATGTATACCACTTTTATTCTTTTTTTAATAACTTTGGCTAATTTCTTACCATCAGGGGTATTTTTTCCACCGTAAAGAAAACCAAAAACCAAAAAAAATCCATGTGTGAATTTCGAATGGAGAATATGTATTTGCTTATGTTGTAGGTGACTTCAATGGTCCGTGCAGGACAAAGTCAACTTATTTAGCCTGTGTTTTCCCCCCCACAGTTTATACAACCTAAGGTTTATAGAAAAGTTTTTATTATCAAGTAAAACTGTTCAATGAAGTCATCCTTCTTTGGTAATTTTTGAGAAAAAAATTGTTGCAGAACTAAAACTTTGAAAAGTGTTGGTGAACTAAAGCAAAAGAACATCTGCATTGTCTGAGCTGAGGGAAATGCAAACGATAAAGAATTGATATAGTAGACTGGATTTCAGTCAGTTTAGTTCTTGCTCATGTCAAAGGTCTCTATTAACAGGCTTGTTACTATTTGTGGATTTTCTTACAACCACAACTGGAAGACCTGTGCTAAGAATTATAATGAAAGTTCTCATTAAGTATTGTTTAATATACTACAGCAAAATGATAATTTAACAGAAGTGGCTCAGTAAGAGAGGAGCAGAATTGTAAACAATACTCTTAGAAATTTCCAGCAAGTTTTCTGAAAGGTGGGGAGTTTGGCTATTCGTAGTGGCTCCTCCTATAGGTTTCTTAACACACAGCCTGTGCAGCCCACAGAAGAAATGGGTTCTGTACTTAGGCTTGTGAGCTCTGTGCAGGCCGAGGCTGCAACTGCCTTGAGCTCTCCTGACTCTGTGTGGGTCTGAGCCGACAATGAGCCCACCCAGGTGGAAGGATCTCCAGTGTCAAGTGAGTGTGTACGCCAGTGCAGGTGAGTTTTTGTATAAAAGCAGGCTTGTGGCTGTGAAGCCAGGCATTCTGAGGGATGAAGAGCTGCTGGTTGGTTTTTGGAGGGTGGTTTTTTTGTGGGTTTGTGTTTGTTGTTTTGGTTTGGTTTTTTTCAGATAAGTTTCTGAATAAATGTTTTGAAACAGAAGTTAATTTTTAAGCTTATAAAATCAAGTCTGTAAGACATAGAATAAGCTTTGATGATGTCAGGCAGTATTGCCTTGTGTGTTGCACACCTGGAAAGCTTTTTCCCTCATTCTCATTGTTTTATCCAAATTGTATGTATGAGTTTTCACAATACCACTGCAGATTACAAATAAAAACATGACCAACCCATAAGCTTCAAAAAAATCAGCCAGAATGATACCTAAAAAAAAAAATGGACAGGCTTGCTGCTGAAGAAACTTAAATAGCTATAGTGTTTAATCTGGTGCTCCTCCATACTACTGATCCAGGGAAATGTGTCAATGAAACTTAGTTATAGTGGTACTTACTAATTCAAAGCTGGTCTAGTGGTGTTATGATTACTCTGTGCTTAATTAGATTTCTATCTAAAAAGTCAAACCATGGGGATGGAAAAACTGGGTTCAGAGATGACTAACCAGGAAGACGCAGCACAAGCTCTCAGAAGTTCTACCTGTTTTACAAGTGTCTTCCCACATCACAGAATTTTAGGAAGTGGATGGTTCAGTGTCACTGAACACTGCCAGTTTTCTGTGAAAGATAGCTCCATGGATACAAAGAGGGTGAGTATAAGCAAGAGATAAGATCCCTGGGCAGTAGCAGGAGGTGATAAAATGGGCTGAAATCCCTGTGTTGATTGAGATTTGATAGATCAGGGTAGTAGGGAACAGTTGGGCAATGTTTGGGTGGGATTGCTTTCTCTGTCAGTGCGACATACAGCCGTTAGATATCTGTCTCTGACCCATGTAAATGTTCAAACTCATCCTGCCCCCTAACAAATAAGGACAAGTCTGGAGCCTGGGCAGTGTGGGCACCTGTTGGCTTCGTCTGTGTTTGTTTGTTTAACAAAAGCCTTGTCTGTGGAAGGCTGCCAGCAGTGTTGGTTTGTAAACCTATCAAGTCTTGGCTGAGTCTATACCCTCAGAGACCCAGGAGAAGGCAGGCAGTCTTCAAAGACAGCAGTGGTCGAAGTCACTCGTGTCAGGCACTTCTGAAAGCGTGGCTGCCTCAGGCATCCCTGGGTAAGCTCTGGAGCATTTCTGTAGTGGCACAGGCTAGCACTGGTTTCTCCCGTAACAGAACTGGCAGGTGGCCATTGCCATTGTCACGCAAACCCAAACCCACTTTGTGATCAGTTTAAACTGACTTTCTAGACTTAAATTGATGTGCACAGGGCATTATCCTCTGCAGAAAAACTTGCCAGGCAATCAGGGCAGTTACTTCAGCTACAACATGCAGCTTTTCAGAGCTTTGCTCTCCATCCAGAGAGGGTTTTTTTATTTTTTTAACTTCTCCCTTTCTCTGTTACTGTGAGTGCTTTCTGTGGCCACCTCAGTGTGCCTGTGGTTCTTTCCACAGGGATTTGCTCTGGCAGTGATACAGGAGGGAGACCAAAACCAGTATGTGCTACAGGAGGGGTTAAAAAACAGCCCATGCACATACGTACACACACAAAATGTGTCTCTAGTTGCAAAGGGAGGGTTTCAGTCCTGGCTCCACTGGACCAGTGTAAGGACTGAGGTTTCAGCAGAGCTGAGCATACAAATCCTGTGCAGTTAGGTGAACACTAGTCTCTTTGCTCAGAGGGACTGTCCTAAACAGTCCCGCCCTGGAGCAGAACTCAGCAGTTTCATGACTGAGGCCTCATTGAGCAGGTTATGGAGGAGTCCCACCAGCACAACTGGCTGAACTAGCTGTTAATGCTTTCCTTAGCCCAGCAGTTTTGTGACTATTTGCCATCAAGCAAGCTTTGTTCAGAGCGAGCAACCTTCTCTTTATACTGTTCAGTTGTAATGGCATGATATCCAAAGAACTGGGGATCAGTGCATAAGCTTTTTGCAAAGTCAGGATCTTCTACTTTACCTCAGATGCTTTTTTTCCCAGCAACTTCCCATTTATTATTCTGTGAACTTTCCTGCTACATAGAATGACAAGTTTGTTCTTAACACAGTAGCATCACTTTATTATCCTTGCTTTCAAGGTCCCAGGCACCAATAGTTGTGCTGAATAAAGTATTAATATCATTAGGAATGCTTTAAAACCCTTAGAATCTTTTCCCCACAAAAACCCAAGCAGATGCCTTAGAAAACTGAAGCAAATGGAAAAGCTTTTTAAAATTCTTGCAAAATTGCTCAGAATCTCTCATTTTAGCAGTAATGACTATGAAAGTACTGGCTATGCTGGACTCTGTATTTTAGGTGGCTTAATTTCAGCTGTTGTTTCAACATATATAGAATACAGCATATCCTCCCCAAATGTACAGCTTTATTTTTTTAAAAAATCTCTAAATTCACACTCAGTAGTCCCCACAGGCTACCCTCTTAACTGTCCTGGGTCAATAGGAGCTGGAGTGGGACTACAGAAATCCAAAAGCACAGAGAGGTAGTACCAGTCCCTCATCATCATCATATCCTTCCCCGGTAGCATCAGTCTCACTAGGACCCTTCTAAACTGACAGTGGATACAGATGAGCAGCCAGATTCGTGCCTGCAGTTTTGCACTGATCCCATGAAGCAGAGACAGGCTAAGTCCCCCTTTTCACTGCATTGCACTGCTCTGTTGTATTAGTGAAGAAGCATTTGATTATAAAACAAAAAAATATCCCCAAACATCCCTCCCCCCCCCCAAATAGAGACAAAACTGCATTTCATCATGACAGAAAATACTTATCTTCAAGTTTTCTTTGGGTTTCTGGGTCGATATTGATGTATGTTAAAAGGATGTGGTAATAATCCTCAAAGCATGACAAGTCCAGGAACATCAGAGTTAAGGTTCCACTTGCATCTAAACATAAGAGTAAGTTCATGGCTTAAAATACCTAAATCAAAACCAAAAGTCTGCCCTGGAATAATGTAATTTGCCAGCAGAGAAAGTTTGGGAGGAAAAGTTCTGCATCCTTTCAGAAGAGTTTCAACTCACCTTGTATCACCCTTCCATAAATTGTTAGCTACTGCACAGGGGGCAGAGTTAAGGTTATTTGCACATTTTAACTTATTTACCAATACAATGTACTCCTGTTCTTAAGACACTTTAATTAAATTTGCGTAGAACAATGTACTAGTAGCTGTTCTTACCTGGCACTTTTCACTCAAACCTCTCAAAAGTAATTGGTACAGGAGGTAACAGAAATTAACTTTACAAAATACACTGGGGAAAGGTGAACTTAGTGGCAGCTGATGTGTGGTAGAGCTGAAACGGAAGACAGATTGCCCAAATGTCAGTTCAGTAAATACTCCATCTGAGAGGTGACAGCCTCTTCCAAGCTTTCCATTTTTATTGGCCAGATAAAAAAAGTTTGATGTTTCCATCATAAATGGGAATATTTCTTTCCAGTTGAGGTTCTACTAGCAACAAGAGAGTCCCATTAGCTAAAGCATCCCTTTAATTGCAGGTACTTTTTTCAAAATTGTTTTTAAAAAAATAATATATATATATATATATCTCATCCTACATGTAAACTTCATTCCTGTAGACCACTGTAATCCACTGCATTACTCATCTTTGTCATCATCCTTGGAGTTCCTCTGCAGGTCAGGGCTCAGTTTGTTTTGCAAAACTGCTGCAAGTTTTTTTGAGGTTTTTTTCAGGAAAGCACTTCCAGGATGAACGTTACTAACGTGCAGGTATAGGTCCTCTTGCGTGGGGCCTGTGTAGCCGCAGTCTTCGCACACGTAAAGTTTATCTCGCCTCTGTTTGTAGGCATATTGCTGCTGCACACCGTGAATCTTCTTGAGGTGGGACTCCAGGGAACAGCGCTGGGTGAAGGCTTTGTTGCAAACCTCACATTTGTAAGGACGAATTCCTGCAACATTTAAAGATTGTTCTGATTTACGTTTCTTAAAGCTGGCTTAGGAGCAAGGCTCTGGCAGCTACTGAGCACATATCTAGCAGCGGGGAGCTACTAGCCCAAAGAACTACCTATCTAAATAAAACATCCTACTTTCAGGCTAAGATTTTCAGGAATGGGTTGACATATTTAGGCATAGAAAACCTAGAAATGTCTTGAAAAGGTGTAGGCAGATGCTGATGATAACAGGGTCCCAACTGTGCTTTGGTCCTAAGGACGCCATTACAGCTCTTGCAAAACTTAAGTCTTAGACCTCTTGACTTTTTGAAGTCCTGTGATTAGGTAAAAATTTCAGCTAACCTGTCATTTTGGGTTTTATAATGAATGAAAACTTCTATCTTGGTAAGATTTTGATTTTTCTCTTTTAGTGAGCAAAACTTACTGAGGCTTCAGTGAATGGCAGCCTAGTGTGAATGCCCAGCTATTGCAGTGCTTCAAAGGAGCGAGAGCACTTTTCTACAATAAGTACAATGACTGAGACTACAAGCTCAAATTCTAGAAGAGAAACTCAGTAAGTTGAAAGAAGGGTTGGACTCAATCATCCTTGTGGGTCCCTTCCAACTCAGCATGTTCTGCGAAATAAATCTGTGAAATAAATCCATGTGTGTCCAGAGGAGGCAGAAGGAGCTCGCTTGTGATTTGAATGCCTGGGCAATTTCGTTCAGTACAAACAACCAACATTACAGAAATACTGAGCAGTAAAGGACATCCATTTTACCACCAATCAACACTGATTTAACAACAACCCTCCATACTTAAATAGCTGAGGATTAAGCAATACTTGAAAGAACCTAAACCAGTTGCAATTTTACTTAGTAGACTAGATCGGTAAGTTTTCAAGCAAAGACCAGCCTTAAAACTGATATAAGGAGTTATCTAACCTCCTTTTTTCCCCATGGAAGGTGATACATGACAATCTGGAAGATCAGACCTATGGTGAGCCAGGCAGAAATGGGCAAAGCACGTGTGTCCATTCAGACAGATGTAACTTTGTGATTGCACTGTGTTACCGCTCAGTTGCTGATGCTTCTACCAAAAATCCAAGCTAAACAGAAGTTCCAATAAGCAGCATCTCAACTGCATTTTTGCAAGTCTTGTAAAAAGAGGTTATCCCAGTGCACCGGATTTAACTATCAACACTGAAGTTTCCTAATGCCTACTGCTGTGAGACTGCTTCAGTTACATTAAACTGCAATTGGAGAGAAAGCCCAAACCTTCATTAGGATTCACACACAAAAAATGTATTTTTTACAAACGGTAGTCTGGGTGCAGTTTTACGCTCCTCTGAAGGCAATTAGGTTTAAATTGCAGGCACCATCCTTGGTGCCTGCTCCAGTGCTCCACAGGCATGCATACAAGCACAAAAAAGATAGTGCCAGGATGGCACAGCCCATCGAGACTGTGGGAACCTCTTCATCAATTAGGAATCATTTTAAAATTTTCTTTTACCGTGTATCTTAGATGCTTTTTAATGTTTAAGTCTGCTCATACCCTGAAGCTAGACTAGGATGCCTTTACTCTCTCTGACACTACTGTTGCACAGCCTCATTTCAAACACTACATGACAGTTTCCACTGAAACACCCACACCCAGTAAAGCACAGGTAGATGATCACCTGTAGCTACACAATAAAGCCCACACTACCACTTCCAGCCCATTTGCCTTCTTTTTAATATTCAAATATAGCCCAGCTTTCCTGAACAACAACCAACTTTGATATGAAGAAGGTCACTGCTTTCAGAGATGCCGTATCTCAGCCTGGAAAAGATACACATCAATACAGTATTGGTACCACTGCTGCAGCCAGCCCTCACCCCTGCCATCACCCAAGGCACCAGGCAAATATGGTGTATGTGTGCATTCATCCTAGTTTTAAGATGGAGAGGAGAAATAGTGACAGTAGATTTCTTCTAGTAAATTTGGGGACAATCTAACTATAAGATTCACATTTCCAGGGTTTTCACTCCTGTCCAGTAAAAGGATCCTTCTCCCCTTCCAGTGTTTCACAAAATTGGTTCCAATCCTGCAAAGAGATTTCAACTTTACCTGCCACAGCTTCTGAACAGAGACTGTCTTGGATTAAGTTTCTTAGCCTCAAAGGATGAGGATACAGATCGAAAAATCACTTCTTTTAGAAGCACTGACTCCCCACTTCAGCCATATCCCAATGGTAGCTCCCTGCTCACACCCAGCAGCTTTACTTTCCAAATGAAAGCTTTGCAAACAAACCAAAACAGCCCAAAACATTGGCTTCTAGCCAATGCCTTCCCATTGAAATGGGCATAATTTTTATGAGTTCTATTGTTCTACTGCTAAGAAACAGCTCCTACCTACTAACTATACTTGTGCCGCCTCTAGCAGTTTAGACACCTGGTTAATGGTGTCTAAGCCAAAGAAAGGGCACTGCAGAGCAAGCCCACATAGTCTCCAGCTCCCATTGGGTAACCACACATCTGGAAAGATGGAATGTGCCTGTGAGATGTGGTGGATGCATCTTCTGGGTGCCCAGCAGTGCAAAGTCTAAGCCTGCTGAGCACAGCCAACCTGACCTGCCAGAAAGCATTGCCCTTGATGAGGATGGGGGTTGACATTTATTTAAGCCATTGCTTCCACCAAGAAAAAGGAAGCAAATCAAAATGGCAGCCTTCTCCCTGCTCCAGGCTGGGATAAGCACTTCTGTAGCAGTGAGCTGGATTTGAGGCAACAGATCTGGTTCAAAGAAACACAACCACCACTATTTGGGATGGACTCGGGAGCTCAATCCACAGCAGAGTGGCCACAGAAAGCACATCCCTCCAGCCTGAGAGAGCAATACAAGAGCAAGAGCAGGAACCACTGTCAGGTGATTTTCAACCAACTGCTCCTGATTTTTAATGCATGCTGTGACCCCACATGACAAGTGAATAAAAACGGTTTAGGCCAGTGGTCAAAGTGATCTGGACAGCATGACGTGCAGAAGGAAACAGCTCCAAAAGGGAGCTGGAGGAGCTGGTAGCCCAAATCAGGAAGGGATGCAGCATGTAGGGTTAGCAGAAGTCAGGTGTGTTGCCTAGTTTCCCTAAAGAAGCTGCAGGCACAGCATGACCAACACTCTGGTTTCTCCAGACAGTGCCAAAAGCAAGCCACAACCCCATCCTGTGGAATAGCCAGCGGGGAAAGTTCTCAACAGCAAAAAAAAAAAAAAACAGGAAACTGCTGCTCGCTGCCTCTAGAGGGCAAAGCACTTTCATCCACCTCTTGCCTCTTCTTGTCTTTGTGCACTGGTCTCACAATAACGTGTGGTGATTTGCTATCCCAGGCAGGTTATCCTCAGTGGGTTATCCCACTCTTGCTGACCCAGGCATTGCAGCATGTGGCTGTGTCTGCATTGAGTCTGGATGTCAGGCATACACCCGCACTACTTCACATAGATTTCACTAGCTGTTCTCAGATTTCATCATTCCCAGGATTTTTCTCTGTCCACACTCATGTCTTCCCCTTTCCTCCACTGCAACTCCACTATTTTTTGCAAACGTTGTCAACCCGGGCTTTGTATCATGGTCTTGATAGCTTACCCTCACCCTCTCCTTGTCCTTATTCCACCTCACCCCTCCTCCCACCTCCTACTCCTCAGAGCCTCCCGTGAGTCCCCAGGGAACGCATTCTCACCAGTATGGGTCCGGACATGTCTTTTCAGATCAAAGGTGTCATTGAAGCCTTTTCCACAGAAGGTGCACAAGTGTCTCTTCACTTGGCTGTGGCACTTGATGTGACGGTTGAGCATTCGCTGCAAGCGAAAGCCTTTGCCACACAGCTCGCAGCTATGCAGTGCAGCATCATTACAGGTGCCAGTGGTAAACTGAGGAATGGAAGATGACTGGGTGAGTGGGCATCGAGATGAACAACAGAAGACCAGCAGAAGAAAAAAAAAAAACAAAATAAGGAGGGATGGCTTGTTGTGGCATTAAAAAAATCTTGGGATATATTAAAAATGAAAAGTGAAAGTATTCAGGAGATTCCTGTTGGGTGAAACATTCACATTTTCCTTGCAATCAAGTGGGGTATTTAATGTGCAGTGGGACTGATGCAACGCTCACCAGCTTGGAATCAGTGATTAAAACAAAGCCTGTGTAGTGGATACCTTCCAGAGGCAAAAACCTTTGTCCAGTCACATCCACAAGCACAAGGGCTTAGGCTACAAGCATCTTTCTGTGGGGCCGCCTGTATGTTTGCTCCTGCACTCAGCTAATATCCCGGATGGAGATGGGAAGTCCTCCAAGGTATGAGAAAGTTGTATTATGCAATGCCTTTGCTAATCATGCTTCCAGCTGCTATGGGTCCCAGCAGTGATAAAAAGAGTGGGTTGGAGAGATAAACCTAAGGCACCTTGTGCTAACTCAATAGAGACTGAAACAATGGCACTAATTTCCTTCCGTTGGTCTCCCTGGCTCGTTAATTAACAGCAGTGTGACATTAAGGGGTAATCTCATTCCCACTCCTAGCACCAAAAGTATTGTGCCAACACCATGACCTAACTTGACGAAGGCAGACATTGATGATTCAGCTCTGGGGAAGATCGTTCCTCAGAGGGAAAGCTCAATTTCTGGAAGTTGCAAATACTTCACTGCTAGTTTACCCATTCATGGGAGAACAGAGACATGCTCACTGATAGACACTCAGGATGTGAGAAATCCAGCAGAGCAAGCAGCACCATGCACACACATCCATCAGCCCTCATGGTGCTTTTGAGGAGTTTCTGTGAAACTCTGAGAAAAACCCAACTCTGCTGAAATGGGTTGAATGCTGTGACAGTTACTAGTAGCCCGGGTTAAATTATACAGAGTAGGTTAAAATCAAACAGCAGCAGGGCAAGCTCTTCACAAAGACAGGAATACATTTGGTTGGTTTTTTTTACTGAAGAGCCAATTATTTTTCCTAGTCCTCCTCCTTTGCTTACTACTGAAGCAGTGCTACTTGAAATCGTAAAAAACGGCAGCTGTGAAACCATGAGGTGTGAAACTAGAGGAGGAGCCATCTGGGAAGAATCTGTTGGGCAACAGGGGTATAACTCCTCCTCGAGCAGCTGCATATAACCAGGGTGAAAACATAATGTTAATCATGAGAATATGATGATTGAAAGTCTGTCATCCCACAGAGACAATGGGAATTTTTACAGCTCTGTCCAGCAAAGCAATAGCCAGGGTTTAAGGAGGCGTTAACTACCAGCAGTGAACACATCTCCTTCCTAGGCTGGGTTGGCCTGTCTCCACTTCTGCTGAGGGGACCCTGGATGTTCAGTGCTGTTTGGGAGGTCAGTGTTAAGTTCTCAGTACCATGGGGACCTGAGGCACCATAAGTAATTTGCCTTCTCAGCCTTGGGAGGGAAATCACGGCTCTGTTCTCCTGGTTCTGTCCAAGGGACACCCAGAGATCCTGCCCTTGCAGCAGAGGGGCTCTTCAACAAAGTCAGTGGACAGATAATTGCTTCATTTCACCCTAGGCCGCCAGGCGACCTCAAGGTGGAAACAGCCTCTCACAGCTTCAGAGGAGAACCTTTAATTAGCTGCTATCTTGATAAGTTAAGAGGGTAGGGGAGCAGTGTGAAGCTTCACCCCAGCCCCCTTGGTGAAGGCTTGACTACAACCTAGAAGGCAGTCTTCAAAGAGGCCCCATGTTAAGGAATGAGATCCACCCACGCACCATGGGGCATGACTCCTAGCTGCCAGGGCTGGTCCTTCCTGGCTGGGTTCAGAGCTCCTGCAGGACCCGAGCCAAGCAGGTCAGGGGCAGCATGTCCCAGGCAAGGATAAGAGAAGGCAAAGGGCACTGGAAGATTACAGTATATCGCTTATGAAGCTTGCCCTGCAGCTGCCATCCTATGGCCAGCATGTTCACGGACCTCTTGCTGTCATCTCTTGCAGAGACAGCCCAAGGGACTGCTGGCACCTGGTGTCCCCGATCAGCAGCCAAGCCTTGACCTTGAACTGTGGTCACCCCATCACGGGTGGTAAGATGGTTGGGTTGCAGGAGGTTACCTTGATTTTCGACCTGACCACGGGGCGCTTGACGGCCAGGTCCAGCAGCATCCCTCCGGCCATGCCCAGGTCACCACAGGCAGGCTGGGGCGTCGGGGGGTCGCTGGGCTCAGCATCCCGGGTCCCGCTGCTCCCGCTGCTCTCCAGGCTGCAGCTGTCCTCATAGCCCAGCATCACGCAGCCGATCCCCCCTGCAGCGAGGTGAGGACACGATAAAGAGGGGGGACCACGGAGCCAGGGGCAGGGGAGGGGACGCAGAAGGCGGGAGCCGCCGGGCCCCGGTGTTTAACCTGCGGGCGGGCCCGCGGGCGGCGGGGGAGGATCCCAGGCTCACGCTGCAATCGGAAACTCAAACACGAACGGTCCCAAAGTTCAAACAAGCCAGCTCCGCCGCCTTCCCGTTATACCCCGGACAAGGGCAGGAGGAGGAGGCCTAGAGTACATCACCCCCGCCGCCCTGGGTCCGTCCTTGTCCTCCCCCCGCCACCTTTCTCATGCAAACGAAGTTTCCCACCTTCCCGGGCACACACACATTCCCCCCGCCCCGCCATCCCCGGAGTTGGAGACGGTGCCAGTCATAGGGGAGGCATCTCCCGGCGGGGGCAGCACCCCTGCCGATGGGAGGGGAGTTTTCCCCCAAGTGTTGCCCACTTCCCCCCTCCCTGCGTTTAGTACAGTTCTCTCCAAGCCACCGCCCGCCCGCACGCCCGCTCCTTCGGGGCTCCCTCGGCCCAGCAAAGCCCTCTCCCCCAACTCTAACCGTCCGCAGCCCGCGGGGGCTGGCGAAGACCCCGCTCCCTCCGTTCCTCCCGGCAGCGACGGGTGCGGGCAGGCAGCCCGCCGGCCCCGTACCTGGGATGTAGGTGTCGGCTCTCTCCTCGTCGGGCAGCCCATCCCAGCTGCGCACTGCCGGCTGCGGGCTCCGGCGCTTCACCAAGAAGGCTCTGGGCATAGTGAGGGCAAGGGGCACGGCCGGGCACGGAGCGAAGCGGCGGCTTCACCTCGCCGCCCGCCCGCAGCCCGGCAGGGCGCGGGCGCTGCGCTGCCGTCCGAGGGAGCGAGACCGCACGCACCGGGCAGAGCCGCCGAGGCACGGGGAGGGGAAGGGGAGGGGAAGAGAGGGGAGAGGAGAGGGTGGGGGGGGAGGAAAGTTTCATAAGGTGGAATAGAAAAATGCACCAGGAAACTTGGGAAGGAGCATGCGTGCTGCAAACATAACGGTGTCAACAAGTCTGCTTACCTGTCCGACCGGTTGGAGCAGCTGAGCTTTGTTCCAGCCCTTCCTAAGGCATGAATGTTTGCAAAAGAATTTAACGTCTGAAAATTAAAAAAAAAAAAAAAACACGAGGAGGGGAGCCCCGCCGCTGCCGCTTCCTTGCCGCCCTACCGGCGGGGACCCCATGGGGTCCGACCCACTGCCAGCCCCCCGCACTGGGATGCCGCGGGCAGCCTAGAGTGCTCACCACTATCGGGTGCGGGTCCCGCCGTCCACGGGGGGCTGCGCTGAGAGCCCCCGGGACAGCCCGTCGAGGGGAAGACTCCCGAGGGCACCGGGGAAGACGCCCTCGGGGCAGCAGCCGGAAGAGAAAGTTGTTACTATTTTTCTTAATGACAAGCCCTTCTTCTGTTAAAAAAAAAAAGTTTTATTCTTTTTCAGTCATTGATTTAAAATTAAAAATGTCTCACAGCCTTTCCTCTCCCCCCACTCCTTGTTTTTTTATTTGCCTCTTGTCCTCTACCCCTCTTCCCGAAGTGGAAATGAAATAAAGACAAGAGGCTGGGGGTTGGGGAAGGAAGCAAAAGAAGCAGAAGAAAACCCACAAAACTGCACTGAAAAGTCTGCAAGTGTAGCAAATCCTATGCCTGGTGTGGCCTTGGGTATTTAACAGGAGTACCTTCTCCTGCCTAATATTCAATCTGCTTTTTAATTAAATGCAGTGGAAACACACTTGGTGCCTTCCTCCCCAAGCACATCTTTGCAGCAAAGCCAGCACAGGGATGGAGCAGTTGAGGCTAGTGGGACTGAGCACCAAGAGCTGTTTCCCCAGCTTGGTTTCCCTTCAAACTTGGTCACTCTTCTCTAAGGTTTCGGCTCTCCTCCCTAAGGGCAAACCACAGGCCAGGGGGAATTGATGGGAGATTCACCTTTGTTTCCTTGAGACAAAAGTTTAACTTCAGGGGCTGGACCTGGAGCCTCTGGAAAGGACACACCTTCAAATGTCGTAGCCAAGTGAAAGACTTCAGCTTGACTCAGGTCCTCATTACTCTTTTGGGCTCCAGGGGCAAAGAGGTGTGAGCTCTTGTGTGGGTCTGAGACATGGGGGTGTGGGACTGGCTGGACCACCAGAGCTGGAGAAGCTCCGGCTCCAGCCCCGAGTGCCGCATCACCTGACACATTGTCAGAGATCTCCTCCAACAATTGGTATTTCCAGCCAGGAAATCTCAGCCATGAGCCACAGCAGCCCTACCCACTGTTTTGATAAGGTCTAATTGAGCAACACCACAGGCACAGACATCTTTATCCCAGCAGAGGAGTTATCCCACCGCTCAGCACTTTGTCCTCTAGAAAGGCTTTTAAGCCCTGACCGCTGACCCACGAGATAGGCCCTGGGAGTGGCGGCAAAGACTGGGGGCACTTACTTGCTGCCCCTACTCCTGCAGGGAGTTACAGTCTCTGCAGGTACCAGTAAGAAGCCACCTCAGCATGCCTTCCGGCAATACCTCAGCAATACCACAAGTAAAACCTTCTCTTTCTTTCTCTTGAAGGCTGTGTAATTTCTCTGTTATGTCTGAGATTTTGCTCCAGGGCAAAATGCAGCTATGTGGGGTTTAATTGATTTTTTGCAATGCTTTCAATTTGAAATTTCTTTTATTTTAATGATTCCTTGTCTTTTAAGCCAAAAGAGGTAGTAAATGACATTAATCACAATGCTCCCAAACCAAGAGACAACTTCACTGTCATCTGGGCTTTCTCAAATCCTGCTTTGAGGTTCCTATTTAATGAGGTCCTGGAGGACACACTTCACTTACAATTCAGATGTGCACTCACAAGCATAGCTGAATCAGGAACTAAATTATTATTACGAGCTCTGGAGCCTTGACATGAGTGGTCAGTGCTGAGGTGTGCCCACCACCACTGTAGACACAGAGTGGAGAAAGTCTTGCAGCCTCTGGCAAGGCAAGAAGAGCTGGATGGAGAGACATCAGCTACATGAAGTAGAGCACCTCAGTGGTGGTAGGCTGCCTTCCCCCTGAGCTAGCAGGTAGAAATACAGACTGTTGACCAAGCCTTGTTGTTGCTTGGCCAGAGCCCATAAGAAAACCATACTGCCTTTCCTAAAAGTACCATTCCTTGGTATTTTCTAACCTGGAAGAGCCTGGGGAGCATGCTCACAGCACGACCCCACCAACACTGTTGCAGGGAGCCACATGCAGCAGCATGAAGCGGAATCCTTGGGGCCACACTGTCTTCGGCAAGGCAGCCCCCAGACATGTCACTATCTGTGTCTGTGGGCTGCTGGTGTCCTTCTCCATACACCCACTGAAGTGATGTTTCATGTAGAGCTCAAGCACTGTAATCACTCAATAAATAATTACACTAATGAGATAATGGCACACAAAGATTTCTATAGGATCTTGTTTAATTTTCAGCATTACTTGAGTGTGGGAGAAAATTCAGTTCATTAAATTAACATTTTGGGTGTAAATCAAATTAAGTGTACAGAACGTCCTGTAGAGTCAAAGCACAATGGGACCCCCCCTTACAGATTTGACTACTAAAATTTATTTCATTTCACTCAAATAATTTGTGAGTGAGGAGGGAGAGATGGAATCAAACAATGAATCAGCCATGTGTTGCAGTCACAATCAAACCCCGCTCCTTCCCAAGCTAACCCTGTGGGGAGATTGAATTGATGGCCATGTGCGAGGAGCAGGGGGACTTGTCCCTTCTGGAGGACCCCATCTTGCTGCCAGCCTTACCCCTATTGATACGGCACCTAGAAAGAAGTGGGGAAGGCATGCTAGGGGGCAAGGACCTGGGTGCAGGGAGCAAGGGAAGGAGGCTTGAGAAGAGCAGAGGAGAGATGTTCAGTAAAAGAGGTGTAATTAATATTTTAGCTGTGATCCTGAGAAGCCCTGTCCTTTCTTCTTCTTGCCTGGGCTACTTTTCATCATGATCAGCATGATGCAGCTGCAGAGGGACATGGCCTGGGCAGGGACGTGGGTTTGATTGCACAGCCCAGCAGAGACGAACACTGTTGAAAGGCACAGTCCCTCAGCAATGCCATGGCGATGTCTTAGAGCATGGAATCCAGCAAAGGGACCTTCACGCTCAGCCCCCAATGGGATCTTGCTCCCAGCCATCACTCCTCCTGCGCAGAAGTGGAGGGACTCCAGCAGGTACACCTACAGGGGCTGGGGATACTCTGCCACAAGGCTGACAGTAGTCACCCAGGGCCCTATTTCTGTTGATTTCTCATGATTTTGATCCAAATCAGGCCAGACAGAGATGAGACCCTGGCTGGTACAGGAGCCTGGCAATGCAACAGTGTAACCTTCGGTTTCTGGCTCCCACCAGAACTCAGGTGGGGATTTATACAAGTTTACTGAGCATGAAAGAAAGGCCACAGCTTCACGTCCTTGGGAAGATGAACCTTTATTGTCTGTGTTCTGTGATGTTCTTGAAACACCAGGGCTGGGACATCTGGGCTGCTGCAAGTCACTCAAGCACCCAGCTGACACCCGCTTGGCTGGTGAACCCTCATGCTGCTCGTAAGAGATACTTTGTGAGACATGAAGAGGAGGCTGGGTGTCAAAACTTTGCGCAGTTCTCTGCAGGAAACACCCTGGTGTGACACCCCTTCCTTGAAATGCTCTGCATTTCTCCATCTGAGGTGGGATGCTGAGCATGGAGGTCCTTGCAGCACCCAGGAATGGGCACCATGAGACCACCAGGAGCCCTGGGTTTGCATCCCAGCCACATTACAGAGAGAGGGTTCACAAAAGGAAGTATCTCTTTCCTAGCCTTTCCCAACCTGCTGCCTCTCTGGATTATCCAGTGGAGGACGAGCATGTCATAGGGTCTTTCAAGAAGGATTGTGGGGACCTCTGAGGACCATGTCTTAAAAGCCCACAGAAAAGTACAGAGGAAATGTCCCCCTGCTCTAGAAGAAAGCTTCACCTGGGGTACATGCTGTTTACAGCCCCAGCTTTCCTTCTACCTGCATGGCTGCCCTTGGTGCTGCAGCTCAGCATCTGCCTGTGAAGAGGCAACATGCTCCTGGAGATGCTCTTGTCCAGCCCGCCCCGCACCCCATCGCATGCCTACAGCACCAGCGTGACTCAGATGGGTTTCAGCAGACGCCTGCAAACACACATCATGCCTTGCTGGAGGGGTTGCCCTTGTCTCTGAGAGCAGGTTCCCACCCAAAGCACGGCATCTCCAGGAGGTCTGGGGGATGTGAGCATTGCTGGGGGTGGCACAGACTGACAGAGCAAAGCTACTGCCCTAGTCATGCCTGCGCAACACCCTCTGTGCTGCCGCCTTGGGGCCAAGCCTGACCACTGGAAAGCTGTGCTTCCAAGCCAGGTTTTGGCAGCTCTCCTGCTTAGATGAGGAACCACTTCACCACAGCGGACAGAGTGGCTCCACGCCAGCATTATCTTGGAAGGAGAGAATAGCAGCTCCACAAGCTGCCCCAGTTTGGAGGGTGATCTGCTTTCCTTGACTGAGCAGGGAGAGATGGAGAAGGTGCCAGCTGGGGGAAGATGGCTCCCCAGGCTGCAGCAGAACCTGCCCTGCCTGTGCTTCCCTGCTGAGTTTCAAAGAACCCCACCAGGCTGACTCATCGGGCTCCTGTTTCCCTGCCTCCCACGGACCCTGCCACTCCCAGCGTCTCCCTGTCTTTCTCCACCTATACCTCCGCTTCCTTCCCACTCCCCCCATCAGCT